TTTTTTTTTTTTTTTTTTTTTTTTGGTTAATCAAATAAGTACCAGTTTCATGGAAGCCATTATGTAATGGGTTCTTCTAAGGGGCATCCATAGTATCTGTACACATCTTACAGTAGTGTTTATTAAGTTAAATAACATTGTATTGTCTACTTGTCTGTCTCCTGTACTGGTCTGTAAATTCCTTGAGTGTAGGGGACTGTGCTTTATTTATTTTGGTAATCTCTGTGCCCAAGAAAATATACTGGCACATTGTAGATGTTCAGTTAATATTGACTGAATGAGTTTATCCGTAGCACTTAGAGTTTTTATTTATCTATTTTAAAAAAGATTTAGTTTGTCAGAGAGAGAGAGGGAGCGCGTGCATGCACAAGCAGGGGTTGCTGCAGGCTGAGGGAGAAGCAACCTCCCTACTGAGCAAGGAGCCCCATGCAGGCCTCGATCCCAGGACCCTGGGATCATGACCTGAGCCGAAGGCACTTAACTGACTGAGCCTTCCAGGTGTCCTGCACTTAAAGCTTTTAAAATGTGTTTAAGAGTGACTGGTATATGTCGTATTTATTTGTTGCATTGATTATGTGCTATCAACAAAAAAGTAATCCTTTTCTTCAAGTTGTAGAAATTGTTTGTTTTGCTTGTATTCTTGCTTAAATAATCTTTCACCTCGTTTGGATAGACTTCTTAGAACTGAAACTTAAGGGTTGTATGCAAAATCCTCCCGCCAAGACAAATTTTCATGCTTTATGCATAAAGTTTTTTTGGAAGATAAGGAGAGATACTTTCTTAGAATCTTTCAAGAGCAAGTTTAATTCCTCAGGAAAATGTGAAAGCGATTATTGCAGTAGCAGCCAAGATCTAGCTTTAGGAAGTTCTCAGCTACTGAAAACAAATTCAGGTCATGTGGTTAAATGAAAAGAAGATACAGATTTTTTTCTACATTTTGGAAGTTAATGCCTTGAAATGTGAGGATAATGAGAGAACTTTAATTAAATGAATCCTCAATTACTTGATAGAGAATGGCATTTCTTTATGAACTTATATAAAAACTGACATTATAGGGAGGAGAAAAAAAGGGCTTGTTTTGCTTAACCTTTTAAAAAGGATGAAAGAGGGGCGCCTGTGTGGCTCAGTCGTTAAGTGTCTGCTTTCGGCTCAGGTCATGATCCCAGGCTCCTGGGTTTGAGCCTCACGTTGGGCTCCCTGCTCAGCAGGAAGCCTGCTTCTCTCTCTCCCCTGCTTGTGTTCCCTCTCTTGCTGTGTCTCTCTCTCTGTCAAATAAATAAAAAAACTTAAAAAAAAAAGAAAAGGAAACTGGATTGCAAAACTAAATTTATTAAAAATCCTTGAATTGTCACTTAAAATGGGTGGATTTTATTTCTTGTGTTTTTGTTTTTAGCCATTCTGACAGGTGTGAGGTGATATTATGGTTTTTGATTGCATATCCCTGATGGTAAGTGAGGTTGAACATCTTTTCATGTGTCTTTTGGGCATCTGTAGGTCTTCTTTGGAAAAATGTTCATGTCTTCTGCCCATTTTTAATTGGATTATTTATTTTTTTGGTGTTGAGTTGTTTAAGTCTTTATATATTCTGGGTAATTAACCCCTACTGGGGCATATTGTTGGCACATATCTTCTCCTGTTCAGTAGGTTGTCTTTTTATTTTGTTGATGATTTCCTTTGCTCTGCATAAGTTCTTTATTTTGGGGTAGTCAGTAGTTTTTTTGCTTCTGTTTCCCTCACCAAAGGAGACATATCTAGAAAAACGTTTCTGTGGCTGATGTCAACTGCCTATGTTTTCTTCTAGGAATTTTCTGGTTTCAGGTCTCATGTTTAGGTCTTTAATCTATTTTGAGTTTATTTTTGCGTATGGTGTAAGGAAGTGGTCCAAGAAATGTGTTGGTGAGGATGTAGAGAAAAAGGAACTCTTGGCACTGTTGATGGGAATGTAGGCTAGTGCAGCTACTGTGGGAAACAGTGTGGAGTTCCTAAAAAAATTAAAATAGAATTATCCTATCCAGTAATACCCCTAGTGGATATTTACCCAAAGAAAATGAAAACTCTAATTTGAAAACATGTGTACCCCTGTGTTTATTGCTGCATTATTTACAATAGCTAAGATATGGAAGCACCTTGAGTTGCTTCATATGGTATTTATCTTTCTCTGGTTGACTTATTTCGCTTACCATTACATCCTTTAGGTCCATCCATGTTGTTTGCAAATGGCAAGATTTCATTCTTTTTTATGGCTGAGTAAATTTTCATTTCCATATTATCATATCTTCTTTATCTATTCTTCTATGGATGCACAGTTAGGTTGAATAAAGCTTTTTAAAGAAAGCATAAAGAAAAATCTATTTTTCACCAGTTAGGTGAAATTTTTGAAAGAGGGAACTTGTTTTAGCTTTCACATTTAAGTCTGTAATCCATCCTGGCTTAGTTTTTGTGTATGGTGTGAGGATGAAGGTCAAGGCTCATATTTTTCCATGCAGCTATCTAGTGTCTACGATCATTTATTGAAAGACCTTTAAAATGTGTCATGTTTTGGAAAATCAGGTGATTATATATATAGTTGGGTGTACTCTTGTACTAAGTTTTCCACTTACTGGTTTATTCTTTTGCCAGTACCATTTGGTTTTGATGACATTGGATATAATAAATCTTGGAATCCAGTAGTGTAATCCTCCAACTTTTGATAGCATATAGAAATACAATTGATATTTATATATTGATTTTGTATCTTATTACCTTGCTGAATTCACTTACTAGTTTGTAATTCTTTGGATTTTCTTTTTTTTAAGATTTTATTTTGTATTTATTAGAGAGCACAAGAGGGGGGGAGGGTCAGAGGGAGAAGCAGACTCCCCACTGAGCAGGGAGCCCGATGTGGGACTCGATCCCAGGACTCCAGGATCATGACCTGAGCCGAAGGCAGTCGCTTAACTAACTGAGCCACCCAGGCGCCCAGTTTTTTGGATTTTCTACACACACAGTTGTGTTGTCTGTGAACAAAGTTAGCATAAGGGCTGTAAATGCTGTACCAGCTTTGCACTCATGGGATAAATATTACTGGGTTATAATAACAGCCTTTTTAATGTCAGATTCATTTGCTAATATTTTGTTGAGGGTTTTTAGATGTAAATTCATGATGGATATTTGTAGTTTTATTTCTGATATGTTGGTTTCAAGGTTATGCTTTCTTCATAAAACAAGTTGTAGATTGTTGCACTGACCTGCATTTTTCTGGATTTGTGCAAGATTAGTATTTTTTTCATTATGTGTTTGATAGACTTCATCAGGGAAGCCTTGGAGTTTTCTTTGTTGGCAGGTTTCAGATCACAAATTCAGTTCTCTGTTTTCTCTTTCATTGTTTTATTTTTCCTCTCACCTTTACTTCTTCTTTCTTCTTACTTTTGCTTTAATTTGCCTATTTTAGAACAGGGCTTGGCAGACTAAGACCTGTGGACCATACCTAGCTCACCATTTGTTTTGTATGGCCTGCAAATTAAAAATGTATATATATATATATATATTTTGTAAAGATTTTATTTATTTATTTGACAGAGAGAGACACAGCGAGAGAGGGAACACAAGCAGGGGGAGAGGGAGAAGTAGGCTTCTGGCAGAGCAGGGAGCCCAACACGGGGCTCGATCCCAGGACCCTGGGAGCATGACCTGACCGCAGGCAGACGCTTAACGACCGAGCCACCCAGGCGCCCCTGATTTTTAAATTTTTAAGTAGGTAGGGAAAAAGAATAAAAGAAGAGTAATATTCTGTCAATGTGAAAATTATATAGTATTCAAATTACATTGTCCATTTGTTGCAATACAGTTATGCTCATTTGTTTATATATTGTCTGTGCTTTTATGTTACAGTGGCAGAGTTGAGTAGTTGTAATAGAGACTGTATCGACCTCAAAGCCTAAAATTTTTACCATCTAGCACTTTGCAAACAAATTTATCACCCCTGACTAAGATAATTGATTTTAGACTTTTTACTTAAAGCTATAAAATTTCCTCTGAGCATTGGTTTAGGTGCCTTCTACAAATTTTGGTATGTTATACTGATATTTGTTACTGATTTGTAACTTGATTCTATTGTTAGAGAACATGTGACTTAAAACCTTTGAAATAGAAATTTATTGTGACTTTGGTTTATTGTCATATGGTCAGTTTTGATTAATACTGAATGCACACTTGAAAATGTATGTGTTGTATATTTGCTGGATGTAGTGTTCTGTAGTTTTCTCAGGTAAGTATGATACTACTGTTCATTTCTTTCTCAGTTTGTATGATGTCCTCTATCAGTTACTGAGAAAGGCATGTTAAAATCTTCCGTCAGAGTCAGCGGACTTGTCTTTTTCTTTGTAGTACTATAAATTTTTGCTTAAACTAGCTTGAAGGTATATGATAAGGTATATATACTTTTAGGATTGTTGTCTTTTTGATGAATTGAGTTCATAAAATTTTTATAAGGTCCCTTTTTATCTTTGATGGTACTTATTTTTACTTTTTTTTAAATATTTTATTTATTTGACAGAGACAGATAGTGACAGAGATAGCGAGAGAGAGCACAAGCAGGGGGAGAGGCAAAGGGAGAGGGAGAAGCAGGCTCCCCGTGGAGCAGGGAGCCTGATGAGGGGCTCCGTCCCAGGACACTGGGATCATGACCTCAGCCGAAGGCAGACTGAGCCACCCAGGTGCCCCTAAAACCTTACTCTTTATCCTATATAGTTTTTATGAGAAATTGATGGAAAGGGTAAAAGTGTGATGTTGATAAAACTGCTTTTGAGAACTTTGCTAAGTTATACAGTGTTTTTTGAAGAATGGCTCATGATATCTGATGTGTCACTTGGTTTCCAACAGTCTTTCTTTTTTTCCTCCTGAATCTTAATTTTGCCCTTTTTAACCTCCCTCCCCTGTCTCTTCAGTCTTGTTGCCAACAATTTTGAAGACGGCTCCCATGTAGTGTCACCATTAGACCCGAATGGAAACTTCAATGTTGTTATTAAAGAGGAGCCTGTAGATGATTATGAATATGAACTTGCTGAGTGCCCAGAAGGGGTAACTATAAAACAGGAAGAGACAGATGAGGAAACAGATGTATACTCAAACAGTGATGATGATCCTATACTAGAGAAACAGCTAAAGAGGCACAATAAAGTTGATAACCTAGAAGCTGACCATCCGTCTTCTAAATGGCTACCAAATAGCCCATCAGGTGTTGCTCAAGCTAAAATGTTCAAGTTAGACGCTGGAAAGATGCCAGTAGTCTATCTGGAGCCCTGTGCTGTCACCAAAAGCACAGTGAAGATTTCTGAGCTCCCTGATAACATGCTTTCCACATCTCGAAAGGATAAATCTTCTGTATTGACAGAATTAGACTATTTGCCTACGTACATTGAAAATTCCAATGAGACTGGCTTCTGCTTAGGCAAGGAATCAGAAAATGGTCTTAGAAAACATTCACCAGATCTCAGAGTGGTACAGAAATATCCCTTACTTAAAGAGCCTCAATGGAAATATCCTGAGCTATCTGACAGCATTAACACAGAAAGAATACCTGACAGTTCAAAGAGTTCAGCTGGGGACCCATTTTTAGGAAAAGATGACTTGGGCAGAAGGAGAACAACTGTGCTTAAGATTTCAACAGCCTCCAAGGTTGTGAATGCTAATCAGAATGCCCCTTCAAATGTCCCTGGAAAAAGAGGAAGGCCGCGAAAATTGAAACTCTCTAAGGCAGGGCGACCACCTAAAAACACAGCAAAATCTGTAACTTCTACAAAGAACACTCCTATGGGTCCTGGGAGTACCTTTCCAGATGTGAAGCCCGATCTGGAAGACGTGGATGGTGTTCTCTTTGTTTCCTTTGAATCGAAGGTAAGATTATCATTTTCAGCATTTCTTTGGAGGTCAGATAGTGATTCTGGAATTGTGGTTGATAACTAACTTAGAATCTTGTTTTTTCGAATGCACCTGCTAGGTGAAGATGTATGTGTTAGGGAGGGGAATGTCTCCACAGTGTTTGGTTTAATTAACAGGCACCACTTAAGGTATTTTGTTTGAATGGACTTAATTGCCTGCTTTGATTTCAGTTCATGATTGTTGAACTGCATTTAGCTGGAATTTTAAAAATTGTTGGATCTTACTGGAATGTACATCATTATGGACTCTAAAAAGGCATACATACATGAAAACTTGACTATTTAGAATACCCCATCCTCTTGATTATTATCAACAATAACAGAGTACCACTGGAGAACTAATATTGTCTTAGAAATTCTGTTGTCTCACACATGGATAGTTTAGTTATTTTACTGCAACTCTCCAACTACGTTATTTTTCTTTTAGATCTTTATAGAAGCCTGGTATTTCTAAATTGGCTACAGAGAGGTTGAATTCTCTTTAGCTGGTCTTTTCCTCTCTGTTAATTGCTGAGTAATCTATCTTTACATAGGCTATGAGAAATCAGTATGTAAATTGGCATAAACAGTTTATGAGCATATGAGCCTATTCAGATTTTTTTGCTTTTTTCCCTTCTGATTGAAATGCTGTTAATGTAGAACATTTAGAAAATATCAGAAGAATCAGAAAAAAAGGTTCCTGGTTTACATTTAAAGTTCTGGAAGTGATAGGAACTTCTTTCTTTTTTTATATATAGGAAGCTCTTGACATTCATGCAGTTGATGGGACAACTGAAGAGCCCTCTAGTCTTCAGGCATCAACCACAAATGACCCAGGTATTATATAATAGTATAAAAGGAGAGATATTTGGGATTTGGCTCTAGAAGTGAAAGATGCAGTGTTTCTTTTTCTTAGTATATAGCAGCTTATTTTGTCATTGTTTGTTTTCTGAGTAGGTTGCAGAGCAAGAATTTCCCAGTTGGAAAAGGAATTGATAGAAGATTTGAAGGCCTTGCGGCATAAGCAGGTGATACATCCTGGTCTTCAAGAAGGTAATATTAAAAAAAAAAAATACAAGCCATTTCTTAATTTTGTTCTCTTTTTTCTCTCTTTCTTTTTTCCCCTTTTCTCCCTTCCCGGTTCTCCTTACCCATTTTTGTTTTTCCTCCCCCCCCCATCCTTGATTTCATTTCTTTTAGTGCCTCTCTCAGCTTGTTTTTCTCTGATTCTTCCTCTTAATTTCAAAGCTTCTCTAGGGTTTTTTTTTTTTTTTTATCATAACAAAAACCTTTCCAACTCTGAAGATACTGTCTCTGTGAAGCATAATATCTTATGCATTTAAAAACTGTCATAATAAGAAAGTGGTGTTTTTTCTGTCTTAAAACCCAGTATTTTCTTCTCTATTTCTCATTTTTAAGTTTTAGTTGCTTTTGTTTTTGTGTGCTTTTTTTTGTTGTGGGGGGAGTCCTATTTATTCTTATATACTTAGTAATATGTAAGTGTGTAAATAGAATACTTCTCTCATTGTGTGACTGTAAACCATATTTTGTCTATTTCATGTATTGCCTGGGACGTCAGTAATTTTCACTATTATCTCTATTTTGTTGTAATAAATTATTTTGGCTTTGATTATGTATTTTAATACTGAAATCTATACTAGTCCTACTTCTGACGTATGGTCAGAAGGCCGGTAGTAGCCTAACACTGTGTCACAACGCCTACATCATTCACCTTACTTCATTTTTATCACATAGGCATTTTATCATCTCATACCGTCACAAGAAGAACAGTATAATATTTTGAGAAAGACCACACATTCCATAATTTTTATTGTAGTATATTATCTATTTTATTATTTTCTCTTACTGTCCCTAATTTATAATTAAACTTTATCATAAGTATGTATGTCTAGGAAAAAACTGTGTGTGTGTGTGTATGTGTGTGTATTAGGGTTTGGTACTAGGCGGTTTCAGGCATCCACTGAGGGTCTTAGAATATATCCACTGTGGGTCTTAAAATGTATCCCCTGCAGATTAGGAGGAATTGCTCTATGCTTATTACCATCATAGCAACTACTGACGTTGCCACTTGCTGTAAATGAGAGATTGTAAAGCATGCCCCAATTTTGTTTCTTGTATATTTGATTTTAGGTGTGCTTTTTGGAGTAGTTTATTGAGTTTTTGACTATTAGTCCCCCCACCCCCCAAAGGATTGTTGAGCTGATTTACATTATATAATGGATCATTTATATGAGAGTCTAAGTAGTATATGCTAACAAAATGATTTATAAAATGATCATTCAGTTTCTAAATCAGCTAGTAATACCTGAAGAACTTTTGCTTTAATATGAAGCTGCTTGTGTGACAGTGTGGTCTTAGAGGGGTACTGTGGATTGTAATGGGACAATTACAGTCACATCATATTCTTGATAGTAAATAACATTATTGCTTATTGTTAGCTTTCATTTCTGCTATTTTATTTTAATAATATTCTCTTACCTCTATCAGTTAATTTTTCCTTTATCTTTTTTTCTCCCTCCTACTTCATATTTTGTTAGTTATGTACTCTGATAATGTATAAATATCTTTCAACTTAATCCCTACCTTTGTTTCCGTCTTAGTTCTAGAGGTAAATATGTTCAGCGCTCCCTGCTGGTCTTTTTGCTTTGGTTTGTTTGCCTGTTATTTCCTGGCCGGTTAAGGTTTGAGTTTGTTTTTTCCTTCTCCTACATACATTGTAGTCAAATCTAACTTTTTTCTCTGTGTAATTGGGGTTCAAAGTCAAATGCTCCTGGAAGCTAAGCAGATAGCCAAATAAAATTAGCCTGATTTTGTGTACGAGGTTGGACTCCGGCAGGCTGGAGCACAGGGGCCTCTTCTAAAGGGGCAGTCACATCTGTGGATTATTGTCATATGGGAAGGTTGGCCCAGTATTTTCAGAAATTCTCATTGTTCAGTAAAAACTGAAGTCAGCATTTTTGTGTAATGATGCTCAATTTCTAAGTGGTAGAAGCTGATACTAGTCTTTTGGGCGAAGTTTAAACACTGAGCCAAACAAAATGTGGGTGAACCATCAGTTTTCATCTGCTATACGGATTCTGCATTTGGTGTCGTGTACAAGTTTTTACTTAATCTTCATGTTGTTAAAATTAATTCAACTGTATTCTTACATAGTTTTATATTTTTTAAAAGATTTTATTTACTTATTTGAGAGAGAGAGAGTGCAAGTGGGGGTAGAAACAGAGGGACAAGCAGACTGCGCTGAGTGTGGAATCAGACACGAGGCTCAATCCCAGGACCCCACGATCATGACCTCAACTGAAATAAAGAGTTGGACACTCAACCGACTGAGCCACCCAGCTGCCCCACAGTTTTATTTTAAAAACAAAACAAACAAACAAAAAAACAGTTAAATCTGTAATTCATAAGGTACTATTCATAAGATGTGAGGTAGAGATCTATTTTGGGTTTTTCTATTTTGTTTTGGCAGATATCCCTTCACTCCTCAACCTTTGTTTGTTAAGACTTAGAATTTCAGAAAAATAAGTTATACTGGCTAAGTATTTGTAGTAACTGAGTGATCCCAATCACAGGTGTCCCTTTAAGGTCCCTCTCTAAAAATTGATGGTTGAAATAATTTGTTAAATTTTACTCTAATAATGTCATATTTCTTTGCTTTTCTGTTAACTGTGGAGTTAGATTTTTTTTTTAGAATATAAGCACTTAAAAATCTTTGAGCTGGAAACTCAAAAAACTTGAAAAGATTTTTGAGCTTGCTTTGAAGTTGTGGAAGAAATGTTAAGCCTGAGGAAGTGTTTCTGCTGGTGGTGGTAGTCTTGTTGCTAAAATAAAATAATCTTAATTTTGTTTTCCACAGAACTCTATTTTTTTCTGTCTCCTGTACTACCTTTACTACATCCAGATTGATTTATTTCCTATCAACCTGAAATTATCATCTGTTTTTGAACTCTAAAGGTATTTTTGTAGAAGCATTTCTACTTCACTGCTACCAAGTCAATTCTATGTCAATTTAAAAATTTTTTCAAAAGATTTATTTACTTGAGAGAGAGAGAGAGCACACACGGGGGGTGGGGGTGGGGGAGAGACAGGGAGAGAGGAAGAAGCAGAGTCCCCACTGAGCAGGCAGCCAGATGCAGGGCTCTACCGCAGGACCCTGGGATCATGACCTGAGCTGAAGGCCGATGCTTAACGATTGAGCCACCAGGCATCCCTAAAATTTTTTTATTTTAGCTAAGTTTTAGGTTTGTAGAAAAATTGGGAACATAGTAGAGTTCCCATATACTCTTCATTCTGTTTCCCTTATTATTAACATCTAACATTAGTGTATTTGTTACAATTAGACAATATTGATATATTAATATATTTTTTAAAAATTTTATTTATTTATTTGACAGAGAGAGATAGTGAGAGAGGGAGTACAAGCAGGGGGAGTGGGAGAGGGAGAAGCAGGCTTCCTGCTGAGCAGGGAGCCCGATGCGGGGCTCTATCCCAGGACCCTGGGATCATGACCTGAGCCGAAGGCAGACCCTTAACGTCAGGAGCCACCCAGGCGCCCCTTAATATATTAATATTAACTGAGGTCCATTCAGATTCCCTTACTTTTTTTGTTCCAGGATTCCATCTAGGAAATCACATTTAGTAGTCATGTCTCCTTAGGATCCTCTTGGCTGGGACAGTTACATTTTTGTTTATTGAGAGAGAGAGAGAATGATAGATGAGAGGGGGGAGAGCCAGAGGGAAAAGCAGACTCCCCGCTGAGCAGGGAGCCCGTTGCGGGACTCGATCTGGGACTCCAGGATCATGACCCGAGCCAAAGGCAGTCGCTCAACCAACTGAGCCACCCAGGCGCCCTGTTTACTCAAATTTTTAAAATTTTTAATGACCTTGACAATTTTGAGGAGTACTGGTCAGATATTTTGTAGAATGTCTCTCAGTTGAGTTTCATCTGATGTTTTTCTCAAGGTTAGACTGAGGTTTTATGTTCATAGGAGGAAGATCACAGAGGTGGGATGTCATTCTCATCCCATTGTGTCAAGGGTACATTTTATCAACATGATTTATCACTGACCTTTCCATGCTGTACCTTTCCATGCTGAAGGAGTCACTGGGTAGTCCATCTTTAGTGAGTGGGAAATTATGCTCCACTTCTTGAGGTGGAGTATGAGCATAAATTAATAGGAATTCCTCTGCACTAGAGATTTACCTTTTTCCCCAAATTTTTAAAAAGTTTTTATTTTAATTCCAGTTAGTTAACATACAGTTATATTAGGTTATGATGTACAGTATAGTGATTTATCAATTCCATACATCACCCAGTGCTTATCACAAGTACACACCTTAATCCCCATCCCCTATGTCCCCCACCCTCCCACTCCTCTCCCCTCTGGGGACCATCAGTTTGTTCTTTATAATTAAGAGTCTGTTTCTTCATTTGTTTCTCTTTGTTCGTTTGTTTCGTTTCTTAAATTCCACATATGAGTGAAAATATATGGTATTTGTGTTCTCTGATTGACTTGTGTCACTTCACATTGTACTCTAAAGTTGTTGCAACCTATTATATCACTGATGAACTTTTGTCAGTTATAATGTTAAATTCCTTTATGGCCATCTTTCTAGAGCTCTGTGACAATTTTTAGTTAAAAAATATTCTGAGCGTAGTGTTAAAATGATGGTTACCTGGAGCTTTTCTGTTTTATATATACTTGCTTTTCTGTTCTGTGCTGGTTAGTTACATAGGAGTTTATTCCTCTTGAATGTGTTTTTGTGGGTGCTTTATATTTTAGTGTGTTTAGCTGGGGCAGGCATTTTTTAAAATGCTTTATTTTTTAGTGCGAGCGCGCTAGTGCGCACTTGTGCGCACATGCACACAAGCGGGGGGGGGGGGAGAGGGAATCTCAAGCAGGTTCCATGGCCAGCATGGAGCCGATTTGGGGCTCAGTCTCATGACCCTGAGATTATGACTGAGTCAAGAGTCAGATGACGCTTAATCAACTGAACCACCCAGGCATCCCAGGCATTTTTTTTTTTTTTTTAAACTATGGTGAGTCTGCCTTTGAACCTGAAGTGTATCTTTTTTTCAGTTCTATCTTTAGGAGTCTTTTTTTGTAATGGTGTAATAAAATGTTTTTAAGAAGTAGTTCCTAATCTGGTGAAAAGGCAAAAGCATTTAGAAGTTATAATTTAGTTTAAACCATCATATGTGGAAAGGATTTTATGTTTTTTGGGGATATGCTTTCTACGAATTATTTAGCTATCTTTTCTGCAAGTTACTCTCATTCATAGGAAACCAACTAAGTCTAAGGTCTCTCTAGTATGTGTTAAGTGGGGAAGGATTTTCTTGCAGGGCAAATATTTCAGGATAGTATTTAGCTTATAGCTAAATTGGGAATTACTTTGAACATGGTTTATGTGCCATTGACTTCTACTTTTATGGCTTTAAAAATACTGATAGGTATATTTGAAATAAATTTCATCTTTTTGTTGTTTTTAGAACTTGCTTTCACTGTTGGGGGAAAGTGGAAGTTTAAAATACAAGTAAACACAGACAAGAAAATAGGAAAAACAGTCTCTAAATTTGATTGTGTGGGGTCTAGAGTTTGTAGGTCTACATATGGGTACATTTTTTATCAACTTAATTCCTTTTATTTTATCATCTATGTAGGCAGCTGTTCTGGCATTTTTTTTTCAATAATAGTATTTTTCCTCTTCTCAAGGCACTAGAATATCTTATTTTATCCTTTTATTTAGGGATAAATAAAAGCAATTTCTGAGTATATTGCTTTGTGGTTCCACTCTGCTGTCCCTTCCCACCTTTCCTAGGTAATTCTACTTATTCTAACTTAAGAATTACATACTCAATAAAATTTTAGCACATTCCCTTGGACTTTTCAAGTGTTACTTCTTTTTGCTTACCTCTCTTGGGACTTATTTACACCATTATAACTTTTAATGAGTCAGTTGGGAAAATAACACTGAAGTTCCTTGAGGTCTGGGAAACATCTTATCTCTATTAGCATCTGTATTACAGAATATTTCATAGAGAAGGTACAATAAATTCTTAAAACATAAAACCCAGTGTGGTGGATTAATATTTTAATTGATGAGGAAGTGAAAGCCATGAGAAGTTTAGCCCAAACACAAAATAGAAACCAGTTGTTTTGACTTCCAATTGTATTTTTACCTGATTCATTAGAAACACGAGGAAAGAATTACTTGCTTAAAAGATTTTATTTTTGGGGTGTCTGGGTGGCTCATTCAGTTAATAACTATAGAGCTGGTTTCTCCAGCTACAAGCAGCCTCAGGTTTATCCCAGTTTGTTGTATATTTTTCATTTTTTAAAAGATTTTATTTATTTGACAGAGCATGCACAAGCAGGGGGAGCAGCAGAGAGAGAGGGAGAAGCATGCTCCCCACTGAGCAGGGAGCCCGACGGGGGTGGGGGTGGGGAGCCTTGATCCCAGGACTGACCCGAGCCAAAGGCAGACACTTAACTGACTAAGCCACCCAGGTACCCCTAATTAATCATTTTATATGCCATTATACAAGAAGGATTCAGAATAACTTAATTGTATCATTAAACTTCTTAGTAAATATCAGACTGTACAGATGAAATAGAATAGAGGATAAATTTATTAAAGAGTATTAGATGACTTACAGAATCTCCTGAAAACCCAGAAAAAAACACTCTGGGAGTGTGCAGTCAGAAAAATGCCCATATTACTTTTGTTGAATGCTCATACAAGCGGTCCCACAACATTGGACAGTTACCACCATTTTAATATGGACATTGCACACAGTATACGTAGAGCTAGGACCTTGGTTACTTCTGCCTCTAAAAATTCTTTACTTGGCCAAACACCATCACCCTCGTTCACACAGTTCTGCGTAGTTTCCCTTCATGGTGCTCTTTCCCAAATTGATGTCTTTCATGGGTACAGCTGATTGGCAAAACCTGTTACATGTCTGCACATAAACTGCAAGGGAAGGTGGAAAATGAGTTTTTTCCTAACACCCACCTTGAAGAGGTTGGAGTTATAATGGAGAAAAGTAACAGCTAGGGGAAGGGTGTTGAAATATTTTGAGCAGCCACAAATATGTCAAGCACTCACAATATCCAATACAATTTGAACATGAACATGCCCCAGTATATAGCAATTCCATTCCTGGCTAAATGTCACAAGGAAAAGCTAAATGCACTAGAGAAGCTCTCACACATCACATGTGTGATGCACATTGTACACAATGAATAATTACACTGGAGCATTGCTTGAAATTTTTAAAAATAGGAAAAAACTAAAATGGGTGAAGGGAGCTGGGAGATACAGGCTTCCAGTTAGGGAATGAGTAAGTCACAGGAATGAAAGGTACAGCATAAGGAATATAGTCAGTGGTATTTTAACATTGTGTGTCAGCTATACTCAAAAAATTAAAAAGAAAAATAGGAAACAACCTAATTCTCATCTGTAGGAGAATGGTGAATAAATTGGGAGTACTATATATTCATAATCTGGAGTAGTGTACGTGGTGAAAATAAAAGATGCAGAGATAAATCTGTCAACATAGACAAATCTCAGTTGTAAAATATTAAGGGGAAAAAAACCCACCAAAAACTGTAAAAGGATATGTTAAGTAAATACTTTCCCAAAAGATTACCTCTTAATCTACAAATAAGTTATATTTAAGGCTCAATTAACCATAAATACCACTAATAATTACTAGGGAATTAGGAACCATAATTCAGGCCCAAGCTTAGTCTATGGCAAATTTGTATTAAATGTTCTAGAAAGTCTCTGGATCACAAAGGATCTTAATTCTTCTACGTTTATGTATTAGTTACCCATCGTTGCTTAACAAATTACTATAAACTTAAGGTACATACTGTCTCGTTTTCTTTGGATTGGGAGTTTGGGCATGGCTTAACTGGGTTCTCTGCTTTATGTCTCACAGTGCTGCAGGCAAGATGTCAGGTCTGGTTTCTCCTCAGAGGCTTGACTGGGGAGGATTCTGCTTCCAGTTTCCCTCAGGTTGTTGGCAGAATTTATACCCTTGCAGCTTTAGCAAGATGGTTGATACATGCTCTCATATTATCACATACACCAAATCATGTACATCCCATCCCTTTGGCCACTTTTTGTATGCTAGAAATAAAGCACAGGCCCTATCCGCAATCAAGGGAAGCGGAGGAGGGAGGATTACAGAAATTTGTAACATCAGGAGGTGAGAATCATGGGGTCACCTTAAAAATCCCTCTGCCACTTTTTATTTTTATTTTCTGCTCTCCACTCTGTCCTGTACCCTCTCCCCACACCTCAAAAGTTTAAAAAAAAAAAAACACCAATGTAATTTGTGGTTCTTTTTCCTTGTAGTGGGCTTAAAATTGAATTCAGTGGATCCGACAATGAGCATTGATCTTAAGTATTTGGGAGTACAGCTACCTTTGGCTCCAGCCACTAGCTTTCCTTTCTGGAATCTTACAGGAACCAACCCTGCCTCTCCTGGTGAGTGTGTAGTATTTGTAAAGTCAAAGTTGTGGTATAAATAAAAAAACTACTTTTGTTAGAGACATTTAGGATATTCTAAAGTAGATTTTTTTACCTAGTGGCATAGTCCTAATGATTTATACATTTTATTTTTTTTAAAGATTTTATTTGAGAGAGAGAGAGAAACAGCGTGAGAGGGGAGAGGGTCAGAGGGAGAAGCAGGCTCCCTGCTGAGGCGGGAGCCCGATGTGGGACTCGATCCCAGGACTCTGGGATCATAACCTGAGCCGAAGGCAGTTGCTTAACCAACTGAGCCACCCAGGCGCTCTGATTTATACATTTTAGATTAAGTTTTAATAATTAGATACTAAATATTAGCTTGCTTGAATTTTGGTAATCTCATTTACTTTTTCTTTTATAGATGCTGGGTTTCCCTTTGTTTCTAGGACAGGGAAGACCAATGACTTCACCAAAATCAAGGGATGGAGGGGAAAGTTTCATAGTGCTTCTGCATCTAGGAGTGAAGGTAATTTGCTTTTCAAAAAATTGTAAATGTGTTCTGAAACATGTGGCCAAAGCCTTTTGTTAAAAGTAAGTTTTGGTTGTTTTTCTTCATCTCTTCTTTGCATGCCTTAAAATAAATGGAAGATAATTGTCTTGCCAATGTCTGTTTATTCCCTATGTTCCATATCCCTAACCATGTCAGGCTTGAATAATCCCTGCACCCTTTTTAAATTGCACTTCCTTTCTGTTACTCCTACAGTTACTTTTTTTCATTTTCATTTTTTAGTTTTTGTGGGTGGTGGGGGGGATGCAGAGGGAGAGGGAGAAAGAATCTTAAGCAGGTTCCATGCCCAGCACAGAGCCTGATGTGGGGCTCGATCGTGGGGCTCGATCTCACAACCCTGAGATCATGACCTGAGACGAAATCGAGAGTTGGATGCTTAACTGAGCCACCCGGGCTCCCCACTCCTCTAGTTATCATAAGCATCATTCTCAAGTATTATTTCAGAACTGTATACTTCAGAGTTGTAGAGTGATTCCTGACAGCATTACACTTCCAAGTAAACTTCTAACCCAAATGTTGTGACTGTATGCCTGTTGGTCTCCTTTCTTAGTGCTTTTCCTACTGCACTTATTTGCAGTTTACATTCTAGCCAGATAAATTTACCATGTATCCAAAATAGTTTTTCTCATCTTTGAATCTTTGTACAGTGTTATAATAGTATAATGCTTGTCTGTCTACTACATTTGCTTTTTCACTCTTTAAAAACTAAATTTTATACTCCTCTTTTTTGTGTTCGTGTGTTTTATATCAGAGTCCAGGTACTGAAACTTTTAAATAATCTCTTGGTGTTCTGTTGAAGTTTGACTTATGTATATTTTTTGCTCTTATGTTTTTACTTAAATGTGGTTTCTCTGCTAAGGTCATAAGTTGTCAAAGGTTGTAGACTCTTAATGTTAATTATTACTGTTGTTAGCACTTCACAAAAATTAATGTAAGTATGTATAATGATGGTTTTAGATAATGGGGGATTTTAATTTAAGGAATATATGATTCCATCTCTTCACTTGGTTTAATATTACATATTTTTCCTATGTTCTGAGGAGGGACAGTTTAGAAGATTCAGTAGCTTATAACTTAATACTCTTGGCCTTTTGAAGTGTGTTTTTCTAGGGATCTAAAGATCTGCCATGTATTTAAGTATCTGCATCTCTTTATTTCTAGGTGGAAATTCAGAAGGTCCACTGAAAAACCGTTCTGCTTTCTGTAGTGACAAGCTAGATGAGTACTTGGAAAATGAAGGCAAGCTGATGGAAACAAGTATGGGTTTCTCTTCTAATGCTCCCACATCTCCTGTGGTATACCAGCTTCCCACCAAGAGTACCAGCTATGTACGAACACTTGACAGTGTACTAAAGAAACAATCTACCATTTCCCCTTCTACCTCCTACTCTTTGAAGCCTCATTCTGTGCCCCCTGCTTCTCGAAAGGCAAAGTCTCAAAACAAACAGGCAACTTTTGGTGGCCGAACTAAATCATCTTACAAATCCATTTTACCTTACCCTGTTTCACCAAAGCAGAAACATGCTCATATGATTCCAGGAGATAAGGTTGCCAAGAATTCCTCAAGTACCATCTCAGAAAATCAGGTGAATAACTTTGTTGTGCCAACTTTAGATGAAAATACATTTCCAAAGCAAATTAGTTTGCGGCAGGCACACCAGCAGCAGCAGCAACAGCAACAGGGAACTCGCCCTCCAGGCTTGTCTAAATCTCAAGTGAAGCTAATGGACCTGGAAGACTGTGCACTTTGGGAAGGAAAACCAAGGACCTATATCACTGAAGAGCGAGCGGATGTATCCTTAACAACGCTGCTTACTGCTCAAGTAAGTATCTCTTGGTTTTTTTAGAAGTGTATTAGTTCATGGTTGGAAAGAATTAGGTTAGTGAGGGGAAATGGGAATGGGCTTTTTGGCGGAAGGATGGGGTATTGAGTTACCTTCGTGATAGGATAATTAAGGAGATTCTCTTGTCTTCTGTATTTGTTCTTCTTCATAACTAGACACCTTAGTGTAGATCCCCTCCTGCCAGTAGAGGGAGACAGTACAGTTGTGCTTTTGGATAATGTCTTTGGCCTTGTATAAAGTCAGCTGGCCATTCCGAAAATGTCTAATTTCATTCTCTAGCATGTGGGCAAGTATGTTTGCTAATCTTATTAAAACCGCTTTGAAAGTTCTCCTTAAAAGGTACTACATTTCAGAAAATTTTTAAAAATTAACAAACCTGTGGAGAAAAAGCTTTTGTGTTTTATAAAATTTTATATTGAGAATTCTTCACTTATTGATTTACCTGTCTTAGCTAGCAGCCTCTGGTGCATGTGAAATGATACAACAGCATGTGCCTAATTTTTTTTTTTTGTCATGAAATTTTTGTGCCTTAACCTTCCATTTTTAAATTATGTGACTAAATTCTAGATCTGAAGATCATCAGATGTTGGGATTAAATACACAGTGTGTCCTTTATTATTAATCATCCCTAAAGACTGTTATGTACATATTATCCTATTCCCTTTTTATTAGTTACTGGAAAGCAGGTGTCAGCAAACTATTTTTGTAAAGGGCCAGGCAGTAAATATTTTAGGCTTTGTAGGCCATACACACTCTGTTGCATTTACTCAGCTCTGCTCTTACAATGCCACAGATGTCTTGTGTTCCAGTGAAACTTTTTGAAACAGGTCCGATTTGGCCTGTGGGTCTTGTTAACCCCTGCCTTTGAAACATTACGTGTGATTTCTATTGAGAATAAACTCATCACTATTGACATTCTGGCTCATAATTAATTTAAATATTCTCTTGTCTGTGCTATGCTTTAGAAAGGCAGATTGTTTAGAATCCTGGTTATATTTATGTTCTATCCTTTAAATATACTGCGAATCTTGTGCTATTAGTACTGAGTGTTCAGAGTCCAAAAAGGCAGACTAGTATTTGACTTGTAAGTTGTGAGTGGTGTTGGGGCATGATTCAGTAGATTTACAATTTTTTATTTTAACTTCAGGCGTCTCTCAAAACTAAACCCATCCACACAATCATAAGGAAACGAGCCCCTCCATGCAACAATGACTTCTGTCGATTGGGTTGCGTGTGTTCCAGTCTAGCTTTGGAAAAGCGCCAGCCTGCTCACTGCCGCCGACCAGACTGCATGTTTGGCTGCACGTGTTTGAAAAGAAAGGTTGTACTTGTTAAAGGAGGCTCCAAAGCTAAGCATTTCCAGAGGAAAGCTGCTCATCGTGATCCAGTATTTTATGATGCTTTGGGAGAGGAGCAAAGAGAAGAAGAAGAGGGAGTCAGGGAGGAGGAAGAACAATTGAAAGAGAAAAAGAGGAGAAAGAAGCTAGAATACAGTGAGTATTAATTGAGAGTTAAAAGTGTATAGTTTTATTTTTTTAGAACAGTTTGGTTATTTCAAATATTACTGTTAATTTATTTTAATCCTTCAATCAGGGGTCTAGTAAGAATTTTGAGAAATTCTTTTTCTTAAATGTTCTTTCTTTGTGGCTTGTGTGCACACACACACACCTTTTTTTTAAATGTAATTTTTCTTTTGAAGATGGCTTTTTGTGTTCCATTTGAATCATTCTCTCATTTGGACTTCCAGAATGCCTTTGAAGCTTCACCTATTTTTCTGTCTCCCTTTTCTTCCCATGTTCTTTGAATATGCAGATGATCAGTATAACCCATCATTTCCCCCCTCCCCAGCTTTTATTGAGGTATACTTGACAAGTACAATTGCATATGTTTAAAGTGTACCACATGACTATCTGGCATATGTATACATTGTGACATGATTATCACAGTCAAGTCAAGTAATATATCTCGTTATTTTCTAAAAGAAAAAATTTGTAACAAGACCCTCTGGTCCTGGTTTGAGCCATTCACCAGGTGATTGGAGTTTTGGGGACAGGATAAGGGCATAACTGACTTAAGCATTATGTACTATTTTGAAAAGCTTATTTTTCCTTTTTGATAAAATATTATGTAGACCCACCAAATTACATATTATATCATTCTTGATTTTTTTTCCTTTCTACTGTAGCTTTTTATTTTGTTCAAATACATTGAAAATATTTTTCCCTTACAATTGAAGATTTTTTTGCTTCTTAGTTTAGGAGACTAATATTCCTTTTTTGGCAGTTTATATTTACATTCGCTGTTGATTGCCACATACTTATTTCAGTCATAGTAGATGTTTAATATTTCAGTGGATGGTCTTCCAGGATTTTCTGTTAATACACTTGTGTGTATACATACATTTTTTATGTAGAAATGGAACTGTGTGTATGTGGTATCATAACCTTTAGAAATTTGGTATCATAAAGTCATGTTTTGTTTTTCATATCAACAAGTATAGACCTATATTATAATTTTAGTTTTAATGGCTTCATTTTTTTTTTAAAGATTTTTTTTTATTTATTTATTTGAGAGAGAGAGGATGAGATAGAGAGCACGAGAGGGAAGAGGGTCAGAGGGAGAAGCAGACTCCCCGCTGAGCAGGGAGCCCGATGCGGGACTCGATCCCGGGACTCCAGGATCATGACCTGAGCCGAAGGCAGTCACTCAACCAACTGAGCCACCCAGGCGCCCATGGCTTCATATTATTACAGTCCTTTTGGTCAGACATTTAGCCTTTTTATATTTTCTTTATTATAAACAGTACAGTGATGAACATCCATGTTCACGATAGGCTGTTAAAAGTGGAATTGCTGTGGCAGTGAGAGCCCTTTGAAGATTTATAGATGTTTCTAGGGTTGTACCAAGGTACACATTTACCAGTAGTTGGATAGTGCTGGATTTTCTATACTGTTAACACTGAATAGTTCAACTGATAGGCAGAAATTGATATTTTGTCTTAAAATTTATATTCCTTCAAGTAGTCGGTTGATTGTCCATTTGTCATAAACTTTCTTCTGTAAATTTGACTTTTGAATTCTTTGCTTGTGTTTTTCCCGACATTTCTTTTAAGATTTTATTTATTTATTTGACAGAGAGAGAGAGAGCACAGGCAGGAGGAGTGGCAGGCAGAGGGAGGGGGAGAAGCAGGCTCCCTGCTGAGCAGGGAGCCCGATGTGGGGCTCGATCCCAGGACCCTGAGATCATGACCTGAGCCAAAGGCAGCCGCTTAACTGGCTGAGCTACCCAGGTGCCCCTTTCCCTACATTTCCAAGAGCTTCATTTTTCACAGGTTATAATAATTTTGTAATTTATATTTTAGTTTTGTTAATAGTTCTTCCCTATTCCCTCACTTGCTCTGAAAAAGGAAAAAGCAGGGATGATTAAGTCTAGTGGTCTTTTTTTAAAAAAATTTTTATGGTTTCTGTCTTTGGAGTCTTGCTTAGAATGTCTTTATCTGCAAGATTTAAAAAATACTAATTAGATTAATAAATGGGCTTCAAATAAATCATATGATCTGGAATTTATTTGGTGTGAAGTTTGTAGTAGGGAATCTTTTCTTCCTAATACGGCTAGGCAGTTTTACCATGACTTACTGAGAAGAAATACTTTACCTACTGGCTTAAAATGTCACCTGTCATTTAGTAAATTGAAAAATATTTATGTCTGTGCCTCTTTCTGGTTTCTGCTATTTTGTGATCAGTGCCAGGCTATTCTAATTGTATTTCGGTGTTTAAATAAGATATTGCCTCCATATACCTAAACGGTCTTTATATAAATAAGATTTAAAAGGTTTAAAATGAAATAAAAAAGAGAATTATTAGTTTAGTTCTATGTATCTCCTGAGTTTTTTCATATTTTGCACTTTAAAGCAATACTTTCCCATTTCAAAGTAACAAGCGTAAGTTACAGAAGCCACATAAGTATGAAAAGTATGTATCTGTTAGGCTTTATTAGTTTGCTTTTTTGCTTAAGTGTATTTACCCTGTGTCTTATTCTTGACCTGAATTAACTCCAAAAGCTAGCCAATTACCAAAGTATTTTTTGTTTTTTCTCACTGATATTAGACCATTATAAAAAACATGTCTTACTGTGCTCTAGGAGCCATCAGTTTTCTTGTACTGTTAGGGAAGATGAGGAAAGAAGGGAAGATATTTTTGTTATGACTGCTATGGAAAAGGAACAGAAATAGGGAAGAATTCTTGGAGGCACAAATGTTGCTGAAACCAAAACCAAACAAAAATAGACATAAAAACTGGAAGAAGATGAAGAAATCTTTCAGTCTGTTTTGAAAAAGGTAGGTGAGAGAAAAAAATTGATTTAGAGAAGTTGTAGAGGTAAGAAAATGAAAGAGGAAATACTCAAATGATGGAAAAAAGTATCTCCAAAGGACATGAAATTTCAGTTTTAAAGGGTCCCCTGAATAGCAGGCAATAATAACTCTAAGTCTAGACACATGTTTCTGGCATTTGTAACATTAAGAATAAAGAAGATATTCTGATCTCTTTTAAAGAGAAACCACTTTGCTTAGGAAGGATTTAAAATCAGTTTGATGTCAAAGAGATCACCATCATCATCAGTAATTAACACTGATTAAAAAAATTAATTTTTAAGTGTACTCTTGATTAAGGAGTACTCTTTAATCCCATCCCCTATTTCCTTTCCCCTGAACTTCCCCTCTGATAACCATCTGTTTGTTCTCTATGGTTAAGCGTCTGTTTCTTGGCTTGTCTTTTTTTTCTCCTTCGCTCATTTGTTTCTTAAATTCCACATGTGAGTGAGATCATATGGTATTTGTCTTCCACTGAATGACTGGTTTTACTTAACATTATACCGTCTAGTCCATCCATGTCGTTGGAAATGGCAAGATTTCATTTTTTCTTATGTCTGGGTAATACTCCATTGTGTATATATACCACATCTTCTTTATCCATTCATCAGTCAGTGGACACTTGGGCTGTTTTCATAATTTGGCTATTGTAAATAATGCTGCTGTTAACATAGGGGTGCATGGATCCCTTTGATTTAGTGTTTCTGTAGTTTTTGGGTAAATATCCAGTAGTGCGATTCCTGGATCATCGGGTAGTTCTATTTTTAACTTTTTGAGGAACCTCCATACTGTTTTCCCAGAGTGGCTGCACCAGTTTACATTCCCACCAGCAGTGCAAGAGGGTTCCTTTCTTTCCCCACATTGTCTTCAACACTTGTTGTTTCTTGTGTTTTTGATTTTAGCCATTCTGACAGGTGTGAGGTGATATCTCATTATAGTTTTGATTTGCATTTCCCTGATGATGAGTGGTGATGTGCATCTTTTCATGGTCTGTTGGTTATCCCTGTTTTTGCAGAGCACTCTATGAGGGTTATATCATTTAAATCTTAAAACCTATTATAAAAGGGCTTCTCCATTTTACAAATGCACTAATTGTTTGCTTAGAGAGTTTATGTAACTTGTTCCCCAAGGTCAACTTGGTTTTAAGGGAGTGGTAGAGATTTGAACCCAAGTTTTTCTGACTTGAAAGTCTTCATGTTTTTTTTTCTATTGTATAAAATATGATTTTTGAAATTTGACCTTCACCTGATGATCATCTGTTTACCCTTTTGTATGTAAAAAAAAAAAAAAAATACTGCTGCTAATGTAAAGGCACTGTGCTTAGCTACTATGGGTGGTACCAAGAGAAAGGATAAAACATGACATTTCTGCTTTCTTAAGCCCACTTAGAGATTTGTTGGAGATGTGTCTCTATCTACAAGTTAACTATGTAAAGGGAAGAAAATAAAATTGAACCTGATTAGGAAAAAAGGAGAACACACAAATTACCAATATCAGGAATGAAAATTGACATTACTACAGACATCCAAAGGTTAATAGAGAACAGTTTAATGCCAATAAATTAGACAGATGAAATGGACAAATTCTTTGTTAGACACAAAGCTACCAGACTCACTCAAGAAGAAATAAGGAACTGCTTACCCCTATACATATGAACTTACAGTGAAATACTCCACAGTAATGACTCTAGGTCCAGATGCCTTCACTGGTGAATTTGCAAACATTTAAGGAAGAAATAATGCCCATTTTATGTAAATGCTTCCATAAAATGATCTTATTTTATGAGACCAACATAATACTGGTTTGATACTCAAGCCAGAAAAAGACATTACGAGAAAATGATAGAATACTCTCTCTCATGAACATATGTACAGATTATAAATACAATTTTAACATATCAAATCCAGGAATATATTTAAAGAATAATATATCATGACCAAGTGGCATTTACCCCAGTGGTACATGGTTGATTTAACATTTGAAAACAATCAGAGCGTTGTTCACCATTATCATAATAGACTTGAAAAAGGCCATTTTTTCATTTCTTTTTTAAAGATTTTGTTTGTTAGAGCACGTGTGGGGGGAGGAGCAGAGGGAGAGGGAGAAGCAGACTCCCCACTGAGC